GTGTGCTCACCCCAGCTGCATCAACTGCTCCCAGGACGTCAGAGAACCTCTGCTCACAGAAATGCAGCAGCACCACCAGATAAAGGCCGCTGCTGATGAACTCATCATATTCTGACTGTGAAGCAAGAAAAAGACCTTTCAGCAAACTGCCCACTTTTCATCCAGAACACATACAGTACATGATTCATAAAATAAAAGATATGGGTTAACTAAAGGAAGTAAAATGGTGACTCACTTGCACATGTGTCCTGTATAACTCCTGAATGTCGAAGTTGTCTATGTTCAAACGCAGTTTCTCCTTGCAGAGTTCACACGTTGTGACGGCCTCAAGGTTCGTGCCTGAAAAACAAATACTGACTTGCTTGAAAAATGTGGTTTTGGTGAAAGCTGCAGCCAAGTGAGAAGACAGTATTTACCCGAGCCAATTTTGGAGCGAAGCCACCTCTTGATGCAGTCCTGGTGGACGTACTGCAGGCTGCCTGTACAGCGGCAAGGCTGAATTAGGGGGTTGGTTGTCGATTCCTCCCCCATCTGGCAGATTCGGCACAGGTCACCCTCCTCTTCATCAGAATCCTCCAGCAGCAGTCTACAGCAGGAAAGGAGGATATTTAGTTGTGCTGGCGATGCAGTATCGATTTCTTTACATCTGTTTCATATTTAAAAACTTTAAAACTACTAATTTTTGAAATATTCTACTGCTGTAGATTTTAAAGAGACAGTTATGAAACATTTTATTGCAGACTTAGATCGTATTAGGATATGATGTACATAAAAAATAATAATAAAAATATTATCTGTATATTGTACCTATATATTGTATTTCTACAATCTGAACTGAACTGCAAAAGCAACAGGCCCATAATGTCTCGTTTTCTCATAAATGTTAAATACACCAGATGCAGCATGTGAATAAAAGTATTTGGGTTTTTGGAAGGCAACTCTAACTGGGTTAGAGTTAGATTAAACACATATTGGACCAACAGTATCACTGTAAGTACAATACAAAATAAATTGATATTTATGTTACCTCCCAGTGAGACAGCAATCAAGCACTTTACCCAAATTACTTAAATACGTGACAAAAAAAAAAGATCAGAATCCATTACTTCTCCTTGATCTTGCGCAGCTTCTCCTGATCTCTACTGGAAGTGGGTTTCTCCCTCTGACTGTCCAGCTCAGCTCCACTCAGTGGACCCATCGAAGCTGAAATGTTTTCATACACTCCGACTCTGCGACGTGGCGAATACTCAACTGAGGCATCTTCAAGTTCAGGTAACGTCTCCTCCTCAAGTTTGCAGGGACGACCTGTGCCAAAGGCCTCTAAACCAACTGCTCCTTCCTCTTTCTCCTCCTCCTCCTCCTCGTC